TAAAATGTCATATTAAATAACTCTGGCTAGTAATTTAAATCCAATTGAGCCTAAAAGCCACAATAATGTGACGCAAGTCACGAAATAACCCACTAATAAGTAACATTTGAATCTTTAATGTGACATCTATACTGAATAACGCTGTGGGTCGAAAAAAGCAAGAGGCAGGCAGTGGCGTCATTATCGCAAAATATTGACCATGTGTTTAAAAGACTGCCAAACAGGGTAAGGCTAAAGTTACTAACTTCCTAACAAATGAAAATCTGCACGTATCCATGAGGTTCTAGGCTAACTGGCTGCATTAGCCAAGACGTCCTGTATATTTATTGACTTGTCCAGTACAAAACCTCCCTTTTCTTATTTTTGCCATTTTTTTTTTTAGTATATGTCTGATGAAGGATTAAACGGCATGCGGAGTCCTCAGCCGTCAGATGTCACTTCACAACAAAAGGTGCTAATCCCGTAACGTCTGTGTTTTTGAGGCTGTTTGGCCACTTTATTAGTTTTATTCTGATTGGATATAAATCTGATCGCTCAAACCACTTCAGATGGTGATCTGGGATGCATTCCAGATGAAACTGGACAGGTCTAATCATTTTTTAGACAAAATTATTATAAATAAAATAAATGATGACCTGGAGAAAATCTGACCTGCACCTGAAACACCTGTAGGTGCGCTTTTACAGCCAAAATTCTATTAAAACATGTTTACTATAAGCATAAAACATGTTGAACTTTACAGGCCTGTAGCCAGAGGGGGTTCGGGTGGTTTGAAAGACCCACTCCTCACTGACAAAGGTCCAGATTTTATCCTGTACATGAGCACATTTGTCCTATTTTGACTGCTCTGCCATCATAAATAAGGGAAGTAATCCATCAAAAAAGACTTTAAGACCAAGCGGAATCCTCTGTCGGCTGTTGCTTCGACTATAATCTGATGTCAGAGAAGTCTTCTTTCACTACTGTATTGTTTTTAAACAGAGAAAACATTTTACATGTAACTTTTATTCTAAATCTTGGACCTTATTTCTGAAATAAAAATGAGCAATGAAAAGGTGTGAAGCACCAGAAGCGGACCATATTCAATTCATTTGAATATATTTTGCCTATCGTTGATATCCAGGAATTTTCAAATGTACTTTTTTTTTTTTTTACCAAAGAGGCTAGAAAAATTCTGAAAAATTTATTTTTATTGTTTTAATATTATTATTATTATTATTATGTTTTAATTATTATTTTTTTTATTGAAATGGCCAAATTATGACTGAGGACAGTCGAATGTTCCGGCCAGTTAGTTTTTTTTTGTCTAATAAATGACAGTAGGCTACAGTTTTTTTTTTTACTTTAAAACTTTTAACAGATTCCTATTTTTTCGTAATGAAATAAGATGTCATAAATTTGCATTTTAAAAATGAGTCTTGTTTTTATTGCAGTTTTTTTTTTTTTAGGAAATATTTTTAGTACATCAAAAAGTGTGGTTATGATGACATCTGACTAGCTAATCCAGCAAAAAAGTCACTAAAGTGCAGTATTTAAATCTTAAAGTTTAATAGAAACTGAGGCGTATAATTGCGAAAAGGTCCACTGTTTGAGGAAAAAAAAAAAAAGAACCACCCCTTTCACCAGGCTGGCTACGGGCCTGGGTTCTTGAATCTGATTGACTGATAGCCTTGCAATATTGCAAAACGGCAGGTGTAAAAGCATCATTTTTTAAGAAACGCCTCATGCTCGTTTTTTTGTTTTGACGCACAGCATTAAAACCCTTCAGAACTACGGTATTATAATGTTACTTTCATTACTACTGTATTTTATTTTACAGTTATTAAATGTTATTTTATTTTATTTAATAGTGCTTTATAATGAGTAAAAAAAAAATCAAAAATTGCACAAGTGTTATTTTAACTGTTCAAGAAATACAAGAAAAATAAACAAACTGAAACTTCTCCACCAATCAGATCGCCACTTTTGTTCATGTGCACGCAGCTGCTGCAGTTACAGTGAACAGCACTTGGAGGCGCTCAAGCGCAAATCTGTCAATGCGAGCACATTGAAGAAGATGCACAGAGGCGATATAAACGTGGAGCTGCTTATTGCTCTTGTGAACAATAATCATTTCTTCACTCGCTAGAGATGCTACTTGTGTATGTGCCATCAATCTGTCTCTTCTTGTTTTGTTTCTCTCTTTGAATTAGCAGGATTTGAACGCGGGTAACATAAGACAGTCCAGTGATGTCATTTCGAACATGTTTAATAACAACTTAACTGAACTATAATACACGGTCAAAAAAACTGTCTTGCTTCCATCTTCATGACACTACTTCTTCCTTACCGGAAGTGACATCAGCATATACTCTATATTAAAAATTAAATTACTTTTAGTAAAATATTTTCAAGTTGCTTTTTACATTATTATTAATTTAACATAAATAAAACAATGAACTTATGGCTCTTATAACTTGAACCATCCACTTTCAAACTTTCTGTCTTCTTCTTTTGGGTTACACGCAGGTGTCAAAAGCTTAAAAATGTCACGTTAGAGTGATCAAAAACAGGAACAAGAACGGGTGTAGAATCCAAGTGCAGTTTTAATTGATGTATAGTGCAGAGAAGTGACAAAAAATCCAAAGTGCAAAGTAACAAAATGGCAAACAAACAAACAAAACAAGAAACTAAGAACTAGACTATAACAAGATCAGGAACAACATACCAAGGACGACAACGACCTACTGACAAACAGAGGATAAATGACTGAATATATAGTCCAGGTTATCAACGGAGAACGGAGACAGCTGTGGTTGTAAATCAGTGTAGATGACAGAGCGGGTGTGTGCGTGAAAGAATGTATGGAAATGTAGTTCTAAAGCCACTGTAGTTCACTGGGGGTTGCTGCCGAACTACAGTGGCATCTGGTGGACAAACACAGTCATGACATAAAAGTGTGTAGCGCCATTTAACGTCAAGGAGTGTTTTCGCATACTCTTCTGCTCGACGCCAGTGAAAATTGTTTGGGTTCGAATCGGGTAAAACGACTCGGAAAACGCTGACGATAAATGCCATCGAAAAGCATCCTGGTGTGTACGAACTTTTAGGCTGTAATAACTCCCCAAACCCTTTTCCCTAACTTTCTGAATGAAATGGTTACTTTACTGCATCCAATCAGCTCGCTGTAGTAAAAACAAGCCACGCCCACTGTTTTCTCAGTTATTAATATTCCGTTTCTCTTGAAACTGCGTCACAATACAAGAAAAAAATAACAGCAGCTTCTAACTCTTTAATGTCTTTTGCAACATGGCTTAGTGTGTACATTTGTAGAGCTAGTTTTTAATGTTGTTGTTTTTTCTCCTAACAGGTAATTTAAAGCCGTAAATGACTGACTCCCTCGCATCGCCAGGAGCTGTTTGAGCTGAAAAAACTTAAAGATGGCGTTTATTAAACAGGAGAGTGAAGATCTGAGGATCACAGAAGTGTTCACACTGAAACAAGAAGATCACGAGGAACAAACAGGTGGGTTTTCAGAGAGATTATCGTAAATGTAATGAATTTAAACACAAGGCAGAAATAAACAGTGGTAAAAGGCAACTATCAGTGCACATCAGTCTTCTGAGTTTATTCATTGTTTCAACACCTTAATGTTAGTCTAGGGCAGGGGTGTCAAACTCAGTTCCTGAAGGGCCACAGCCCTGCACAGTTTAGCTCTCTGCTTCAACACACTTACCTTGAGGTTTCAAACAAGCCTGACGAACTCAATTAGTTTAATATGGTGTGTTTAATTAGGGTTGGAACTAAACTGATAACATTTAAGGTGTGGCACTTTTACCATGTGATGGTAAAGCTAAAGCGAGCGTGCCAGGGCCAGTCGCATTTCCACTGTCTCTCCCAGGGCCTGATCGGGTCAAAGTGGTGTGTCCTCAGGGCCAGCGGCCGGCCTCTTTTGGCCCGCCAAATACTTTGAGGCAAAGAGGGCCAGCTGGGGCTTTGGGGCGGAGTGAAAGGAGAGGTGGCATTTGGCCGAGTTCGGTAAAGATGGCGTGACGCCATCACACTAGTTTTCCGATTTCACACAAGTACACGTGTCACAAAAAATTAAGTAAGGGAAAGAAAAACATATAACTGGTCAGTTAAAGATATTCCATAAAAGACCTTAAAGGCTAGGGGTCTTTCTGCTTATTACCGCCCTGGTGAGTTTTAAAGATTCTGGCTGTTTCTCAGGGTGCTTTCACACCTACACTTTTGTTTCGGAACCTGTCTCGTTTGCCCAGTTAGCGCGGTTCGTTTGGCATATGTGAACAGGGCAATCGCGTTCTGTTCCGCGCCAAAGTAATCGCTCCGAGATCGCTTGAGTGAGGTGGTCTCGGCTCGATTGAAACGAACCCTGGAGCGGTTCGATTGCAGTGAGAAAGCGATACGATCCAAGCGCGGTTATATCACAGTGTTTTATGGATATATAATAGGCATACGGCTATATGAAGAGAGAATTATGAGTATGGCGGGAAGTTTTGCGACTCTCCGGATGCCCGCAAACGAGTGTAATCTCGCGTCTCCCTCCTGGTCCTCAAATAGGCATCGTCGCGCACCCTTCTCACCCCTCCCCACCGCGTCTCTCCTCAGACACGTCGCGTGTGCGCACCCTGTCAATCACCACCAAACCACCACCTCTCCTGACAGCTTAGCGGGACGCTGCAAAATAAACCCTGACACTCTGACCAACGTAAGGAGAGTTTACTCACACGTGACTTGTTTTAGCTCTTTTGGTCAGATTAGAAACTTTGCAGTGTGAAAGCGAACCGCTCCAAGAGCAAAGAGCAACAATGTAACATTTGTAATCTCTGTTTCGGAACAACTGAATCGATTCACAGGTGTGAAAGCACCCTCAATATCATGTATGCAAAGTTCGGACTTGCGTCCTTGGAAGTTTAGACTTGCCAAGTTCCGACTTGGAAGAACAAACTCCCGAGGACACAAGTCGGGTACTTCCTCAAATGGAACGGCAGTGTACTTTATAACGTCACTTAACTTACCTCACCATGGATTCATCAGTTTCACTGTACATTAACAATAAAATTATTTAATTATATAAAGCACGACCCTGTAATTAATGTTATATTAATATTATAAGTTTACGTTTTTGGTTAAAGAAAATGTAAACATAAATTCATATAAATGTGAAGTAAAAAAGGTTATTATACACAGAAACGTCTTTGATTATAGATTTAATAAACTACAATGGGCATTATACAAGTATAAACACAATAAGAAATAACGATTACGTCAAACAATTTAGTAAACAAAGACAAACCACGTACAACACGTTTAACATAATTAAAGACAATTATAAAAGGTAACAAAATAATACTGCCAAAATAATACACATGAGAACAAATAATAGATTTAAAAGACCAAAAACTGTCCGTTAGATATGCACAAGATGTTTTAAATATCATATTTTAACCACAATGGAGAGATGCGACTGGGCGAAGTAAAGTTGCTCTCGGTGGGGGAGATGATGATGGAGCTCCCGCTGGCAGGCTGGGAGTCCGCATAAGCTGAGGCACATCGTCAAAGACGCGCTATCTTTGTGAATAAACTGTCGATTCGAGTTTAAAACGACTACATTCACGTCTGAAGACTGTTAAAACTTTTTTTTTGTGACACAGTAAAGGTGTATTTTTAAAACCGTGCGAGTTTTCTCCTCCACCGTTAGCGTTTGCTGGTTTAGCTCGCAGGATTCAGCACGTAAATTCATCGGTTACTCCCGAAATGCATGCAAGCAAGTGGCTGGCCAGCTGGGAGAAGAATAGGTTGAATTTTATTGTTACTTTTACTAGGTGTATCTGATATGAATAATACACATCGGCAAATTATATTTGAATGGATTGTTAGACTTTCTTAGACTTTCTTGTGTGTTTTACAAACTAAATGTATTGTTTTACTGATTCTTTTGTATTTACTGTCTAAAACATAAAATAAGCATTGGGTGGGTAAAAACACTGCATAATTGTGATAATATGACACTTCTTTCCCTGGCTCAGCACCAGCCAACGCGCCAAAGCTCAGTCTGAATTTTTCACGTCCTGCTTGTCAAGCTGGATAACAAGTAAACACCAGCACCAGAGACATTAGGCTCAAAACGGAACAAAAGTAGGATTCTGTATTGATTTACTCTGCTGTTGCTCTTTTCCTCTTCATCAAAAACTCCAACATGTTTGCATTTCAGGTACTGGGTCACTTGGTGCACTTTTTTTTGTTTATTCAGTGTGAAATGCTCCCACATCTTGGATGACTGGGGTCGCACCGATTTTTCTGCCTTAGCCATGTATTTTTTATCGCTCGTTTTTTTGCTCTGTCCTGTCTATAAGGGCGCCGAACTCTGCTGGCATCTGCGCGAGAGAGGCAGATTGCGTTCACTCCGCTTTGCACTCACTTAGTTTTTTTTAATTAAACAAACGCCCCTGTGTCGCACGACACGATGAATCGATTATGAAATTCGTTGCCAACGCTTTTAGTAATCGATTGGTTGTTGCAGCCCTAATTTACAATACACAGCAAGTAAAATTGTTAAAATTGTTTTTTTAACAATCTACCCAAAGGGGATGTTCTAAAATACGTTTTATACCGAGTTATTAACGGAGAAATTCTGTGGTTTTATATTATGGATTGTGCACTGGGTTCCCTTCGTTAGTGGCGAGACCACTTGATGTACGATTCCAATAGTCGGTCGGTGAGTAAACAAATATAATGAATGAAAATACACAGGCCTGTGCATATAGACATATTGTAATGCTGTACAGTTACATGTCATTTGTTTCGGTTGTCTTCATTTTAATCGTTTCGTGATGATTCGATGGTGTGCTTTATCTGCCTGATTCCCGCTGAAACTGGGCGGGTTGTGTGACATTTGATTTGGGGGATGTTCTGGGGACGGGGTTTGCGTGGCGTGCTGCGAGCTACTAGCCCGACAGTGGAAATGTGACATGATTTCGGCCTCACTGGTCAAACTCCTGGGCTATTGGCACGGCCCGGCTTGATAAAAGCCCTTGCTCACACTGGTCTAACAGTGGAAGTGAGGCTAATCAGTAAAGTAATTTTAAAAGTTTTCATTCCTGCTAACATTTGAGCGCAGTCTTAAACACTGTTCGATTGTCCCTGTGTCTTTGGTTACATACAGTAAACAGTGGTGAGTTCAGCGAACTGATGACCTTCACATCCAATCAGTCATTTCTGTTGAGTATGTGAACACACTGGTTAATCAGCACTGTTTAAACTGTGCCCAACAGTGCTCAAATGTTAGCAGGAAATGTACGTTAATATTAACATAACAAGCTAACATTATATTTATGTTCAAGTGTGTTGCTTTGCGTGTTTAAACTGTGGCTAATTATTTATTTGTTTGCTTCAGGTCTAATGGTGCTGAAAGAAGAGACTCAAGAATTTAATGAAATGGAGGAAATAGATCAGTATAGAACACAAGATTTACGGACTGATGAAAAATCCACAGAAGGAGATCAGGAAACCGAATCTAAATTCAAGTGCTGTCACTGTGGGAAGCATTTAAGACATAGACAAAACCTTAAAACCCACATGAGAGTTCACACTGGAGAGAAGCCGTTCACCTGCAAACAGTGCGGGAAGTGTTTTTCTCGGAATCAAAACCTCACAGCTCACATGAGAGTTCACACTGGCGAGAAAGATTTTACCTGCCAGCACTGTGGAAAGTGTTTCACTCGATACCAAAACCTGAAAGTTCACATGAGAATTCACACTGGTCTGAAGCCGTTTACTTGCCCAAAATGTGGAAAGGGTTTCAGTCAAAAAGCACACGTTATGGACCACATGAGAGTCCACACTGGAGAGAAGCCTTTTATCTGCCAAAAGTGTGGAAAGAGTTTCACTAAAAAGCAAAACCTTCACGTTCACATGAGAATTCACACTGGAAAGAAACCTTACACTTGCTCTGAATGTGACAGGTGTTTTACACAGAAAAGCAGCCTGAATTGCCACATGAGAACCCACAAAGGTTAGAGATTTTTCCATCTGTAAAAAAAAAAAATCCATCCATCTGTAAATATCGTAGTTTTTCTATAACTGCACTTTATTACTTATAACTTTATAACCTGGTTAAACTTAAACTGCAATTCGTTGCTTTGTATTTTCATTCATTTTTTACTGCTTTTTTGGGGCCGGGTCGCGGGGGCAGCAGTCTTAGAAGAGAACCCCTGACTTTACACCCCAGACTTTTCCTCCAGCTTCTCCGGGGGGATCCCGAGGCATTCCCAGACAAGCCGAGAGACATAGTCCCTTCAGCGTGTCCTGGGTCTTCCCCGAGGCCTCCTTCTGCTGGGACATGCCTGGGAACACCTCCCTAGGTAGGCGTCCAGGAGCCATTCGAAACAGATGCTAAAGCCACCTCAGCTGACTTCTCTGGATGTGGAGGAGCATCGGCTCTACTCCGAGCTCTTTCCAGGTCACAGAGCTCCTCACCCTATCCATAACAGTGTGGCCTGCCACCCTGCGGAAAAAAATGAATTTGGCCGCTTGAATCCGAGACCCAAAGCTCATGACCATAGGTGAGAGTAGGAATGTAGATTGACCAGTAGATTGAGAGCTTTGCCTTTCGGCTCAACTTCTTCTTTACCACAACGGACTATTACATCGACGACATTATTGCTGCCACTGCACTAATCTGCTTGCCAATCTCAAGTTACATCCTTCTCTTACTCATGAACAAAACACCAAGATACTTGAACTCCTCCACCTGGGGTAAGGACTTTCTTCCAACTTGGAGATGGCAAGCCACTGTTTTCCGGTGGAGCATCATAGCCCCGGACTTGGAGGTGTTAATTCTCATCCCAGCCACGTCACACTCTGCACTCCAGTGCATGCTGAAGGTCCATGTTCTATAAAGCCAAAAAAAATAAATCCTGTGAAATCCTGTGTTCCCCGAACTGCACCCCCTCCAGCCCAAGGCTGTGCTTTGGAATTCTGTCCATAAAAATTATGAACAGAATTGGTGACTAAGGGCAGCCCTGCCGGAGTCCAACATGCACTGGGAATAAGTCTGCACCAAGAATAAAACCGCATTGTTCCTCCTGCATCCTACCATCGTCCGGATACTCCTCTTCAGTACCCTGGCATAGACTTTCTCTGGGAGGCTGAGGAGTGTGATCCCCTATAGTTGGAGCACACCCTCCGGTTCCCCTTCTTAAAAATGGGAACCACCACCCCAGTTGCCCAGTCGAGAGGTTCTGTTCCTGACCTCCATGCGATATTGTAGAGACATGTCAGCCAAGACAGCCCCAGAACATCCAGAGACTTAAGATGCACAGGGTGAATTTCTTCCACCCCCACGGCTTTGCCACTGTGGAGCTTGCAAACTACCTCAGTGACCTTAGCTTGGGTGATGGGTGAGTCCACCCCTGCATCCCCAGTCTCTGCTTCCTCAATGAAAGACATGTCGGTGGGGTTAAAGAGATTCTAAAAGTATTCCTTCCACCTTCCGACAATATCCCCAGTTTAAGTCGACAGGTCCCCACCTCCGCTGTAAATAGTGTCAATATGGAGCTGCTTTCCCCTCCTGAGGTGCCAGAGAGTTTGCCAGAATCTCTTTGGGGCCAACCCATAGTCTTCCTCCATGTTCTCCCCGAACTCTTCCCAGGCCCGAGTTTTGCTTCCGTAACTGCCTGGGCTGCAGCACACTTGGCCTGTCGATACTCATCAGCTGCCTTTGAAGTTCTGCAAGCCACCAAGCCCTGTAGGACTCCTCCTTTAGCTTGACGGCTTACCTTACTTCTGGTGTCCACCATCGGGTTCGTGGATTGCCACCACAGCAGGCACCACAGACCTTACGGCCACAGCTCCTCACGGCCATGTTAACAATGGCGTCAGAGAACATGGAACACTCTGTCCCCATGTCTCTAGCCTCCCTCAGGATCTAGTCAAAGCTCTTCCAGAGGTGAGAGTTGAAAACCCATCTGACTTTACAGCCAGATGTTCCCAGAGGACCCCTCACAATACGCTTGGGCCTGCCAGGTCTGTCCAGCTTTCCCTCTTGTCAGCGGATCCACCACACCACCAGGTGGTTATCAGTTGACAGCTCTGCCCCTCTCTTTACCTAAGTGTCCAAGGCGTACGGTTGGAGATCAGATGATACAACAACAAAGTCGGTCATTGACCTCCACCCTAAGGTGTCCCGGTGCCATGTGCACTGTTGGACACCCTTATGCTCAAACATGATGTTCGTTATGGACAACCTGTGATTAGCATACAAGTCCAATAACAAAACACCACTCCGATTCAGATCAGGGAGGCCGTTCATCCCAATCACGTCTCTCCAGGTATCACTGTCATTACCCTTGTGGGCATTGAAGTCCCCCAGTAAAAAATAGGAGTCCTCAGTCAGAGCACCTTCCAGCACCCCTCCCAAGGACTCCAAGAAGGCCAGGTACTGGCCCGTAGGCACAAACCACAGTGCCCAACTATCTCTAGTCGGTACCGTTCCACCTCCCGCACAAGCTCGGGCTCCTTCCAGTGAGGTGACATTCCATGTCTCCAGTTTCTGGGCCTGACAATCAGGTTGTAGTGGTCCTAACCTTCGACCACCACCCATTCCACAATGCTCTGACCCCTCACTGCTCCCCCTGCTGATGGTGGGCCTGCAGGAGGATGGTCCCACGTTACTCCTTTGGTCTGAGCCCAGACGGTTTCCATGTAAAAAACCTAGCCACCTCAAAACCTGGCTCAAAAAATGTCTGAGGTAATCCCCTCGAGCAAGGCACCAAACCCTTAACTACTCCCTGGGTGTGTGTTCATAGGTGTACTTCAGGCAGTTTTTCAACAAATACACATAAGTCTGACTTTAAACTGAGCCTTCTTTATACAAGACATTGCCGTTTAAAAACTTCAGCACACTTCTGATCACTTTGGCATTACTTTCAACATGTCTTTTAGACATAATCTGTTCTCTCTGTCCTCCACATGGTTGTCCTTTTTTGTTACATCTTCTCTTCTCTCACCCACCAAGTTTTTACTTCTGGATATTAACTTAGACTTTAACATCCTGCCTCTCGCAACCAAGCCAATCTGCACTACTCCCTTTAACCCCTACCTTTGTCTGTCTAATCTCTGCAAGGCTGATAGTGGAACGCCACTCTGCTGGTTGGAGTCTTACCTCAATAGTCAATCTTTCAGGATTGTCTGGAGATGAGAGGTATCTAAAGCACATCATCTGGTCCCTATGACCTCAGGGATTTTTACATCACATTGATAGGGACCATCCAATCACGTCTTCTGTAATCATAATTTCTCCATCCATCTGATCCTACATAACCAGCTGCCCTTTAAAGAACGCTTTCAACATCAGAAAGAGCAGACCCTTCCTGAACAATCATGCTGCACAACGTCTTGTCCAAGATCATCATTTCTTGGTTGGACTACTGTGATGCTCTTTTGACAGTACTCTCTTCTTGCATTCCTAAACATCTACATGTGATCCATAATACTGCAGCGCGTCTGGTCTTCAGTGAGTCTATGTTACACTCTCTTTATCTCTCTAAAGCATTGGTTACTGTTTGAAGCTCAGATCAAGTTGAAATCATTGATGCTTGTTTACAGAACAGCCACTGGCTCTGTAGTGTCTTAAAAGTGAACATCCTCTCCAGGAGTCTATAATTGCTAAGTGAGTGGCCCTGAGGTACAATCACAGAAAGGCTCTAAATCTTTTTCCAGAATCTTTTTTTTTTTTTTGCAATGTTTCTTGCCGGTGGAATGGTCTGCCCATTCCCACATGGACTGCTGATTCTCTGGTATCATTCAAACAGTCATCTCCTCCACAAATGCTTGAGCATTTAATTAAAAAGAAAATACTCCTAGTTCTTACAACTTTGAGCGCTAACAGTTCCCTTGTATGAGTAGCGCTTCTTAGTTGTATTGCCTCTTGTTGAATCGCTGAATGCCTCCTCAGTTGTGAGCCACTTTGGACAAAAGTGTCTGCTAAATGACTAAATGCAAACGCTTCTGTAAAAGGTTTAAATATGGTGTATCCAACGCTTTACTGGGCGTAACCTAGTTAAATTTGCATACAGTTTGAGATTTGAAGATTGAATTTAATTTGATTTGGCAGTGATAGATTTCAAATCTTATCAGAGAAGGCATGTGATGTGCCCAGGTGTAAACAGGCCCAAATACATTTTGGTATTACAGAGTGCTTACTAAATCTAACATGCATGTTGTTGATTTTGATGCCTAAATGCCATTATTGATGCCTATATGTTCTTTTTGTTGACTTCAGGTCTAATGGTGCTAAAAGAAGAGACTCAAGAACTTGATGAAATGGAGGAAGTAGATCAGAAACACAGTTTAAGGACCAAAAAAGAAGTTCAGGAAACTAAATCTTATATGTGCCGTCACTGTGGGAAGAGTTTCTGTCATGAAAAGAACCTTAAAATCCACATGAGAGTTCACACTGGAGATAAGCTGTTCACCTGCAAGCAATGTGGAAAGGGTTTCAATCAAATTCAAAACCTTGAAGTTCACATGAGAACTCACACTGGAGAGAAGCCTTTCATTTGTCACAAGTGTGGAAAGGGTTTCAAACAAATTCAAAACCTTGAAGCTCACATGACAATTCACACTGGAGAGAAGCCTTTCGTTTGTTACCTGTGCGGAAAGGGTTTCACTCAAAAGCAAAACCTTCAAGTTCACATGAACCTTCACACCGGAGAGAAACGCTTTAATTGCCAACAATGTGAGAAAAGTTTCCCAGTAAAACACACTCTTATAATGCACATGAGAGTTCACACTGGAGAAAAACCTTACGCCTGCTCTGGATGTGGAAAGGCTTTTAAACAGAAAAGCGGCCTTTATAGCCACAATAAAGTTTACAAACATTAGCGATCTTTTACCTGGCAACTGTGGAAAGAGTGTCCCTGCAAATCAAGGTGATAGTTAGTTTTCATGTGTAACACTTTTACCACATCAAACTTGTGTTGTTTTGTTGTTGTTTGGGAAGGAGCTGAAACTGTCATGCTGTGTTCACACCAGACACGGAACGCATGAATAAATCGTGCTATTCGCGCGTATAAGAGGCGTGAACATTTTGAGTTCTCCACGCTTCATTCGTGCGTCAGATTCACTTCAAAATAGATGCCGATTCACATCATGGGCAGGACTTCTGTCTGCCTGGTGACTCTAGCTTCATTGCCAAATGGCTAACATGGACTGTGCTTTAGGAAGGCTGATAAACAGCTTCGATTAGTTTAGAGCCGCGATTAAACGACTAGATCCATTCAGAGGTGCACCAGCCCTGTGAGTTCATAAACTCCTCCACAAGCTATAGCTGAATGATAGAGGCTTTCACCAGTGCTTCAGACTGAGCCGAGCCTAGTTTGATGAACTGTTGTCCAACGGTGTCGGCAAGAGGATTTCCCCTAGGACACCAACAACAGGCGCTATGTCATAATCACGCCCCTACAAGAGAAACCTCCTGATTGGTTAATGAGGCGCAAAATATCCCCTAAAGTTCAGATTTTCCAACTTGAGCAATTTGCGTGATATGCACGTTAAGTGCGTCAATTGGCCAAAATACTCAACTCACGCCACTTCATTTGCATGAATCAAGTCATTCGTGTTGCAGGACTTCTGCAGATTGATGCGTGCGTCGTGAATCTGGCATCAGAGTCTAGAAAAATGATTTGGTCGTCCCAGACAAATTTGGGAAATCCTAAAAGATTCCTGTAATCCTTGGCAAAAACCTGATTTTTGATCGTTGGTTTGACTCGTTCAACACAGAATGACCATTGCAATCAAATTTTACCTCAGAAACCAACCAACAGGAGTACAGAATCTGATGATGCAGTCAGCTCGACAACTTCAAACCACTTATTCAGCTTGACATTGAAAACTGAGGTCTTACAGCAGGGGTCACGATTCTTGGTCCTAGAGGGCCACTGTGCCTGTAAAGCAGGGGTGCTCAACCCTGTTCCAGAAGTTCTATCTTCCAGCAGAAGTTAGCTACAACCCTTATCAAACACAACTAATGCTGCGGTCACATTAGAGTTTGTGCTTGCAAAATTCTGTCATACAGCGCTGTGAAAAGGTGTGGGATTAAACAAGATGATTAGACATTAAAAAAAAGCAGGCAATTGGTCCATGTTTTAAACTTCTGTCCAGAGAGGTCATGTTTTGACCCTCGATTGGTCTCACGCAATCATATGATGCGATTTCACATGTCAGGAGTTCACCAAGCTTGAACTTCACAACACAGCAAACTGCGAAAACATGCCGCACGACCTTGCGTTTCCGGTCTGATACATTCGCATGTGTATGAATGGAAGTCTATTGGGAGAAAAGTGCAGTGTGACCGCAGCTTAAGTAGGATCTGAAGGAGAACTTGGCGATTAAAGACAGGTGTGTTTGATCAAGGTCGCGGTTGAACTTTGCAGGAAGGTAGATCTCCGGGAACAGGGTTGCGCTCCCCTGCTGCAGAGTTTATCTCCAACTTGTCTCAACACACCTGACTGCAAGTTTCAAGAACACCTGGTAAGACTTTAATTAGCTTGATCAGGTGTGTTTGACTAGGGTTGAAGCTAAACTCTGGAAGGAGTTTGGTAACCCCTGTCTTAAAATGTTCATGCAGTCTGACATGCTACAAACGTTAAGTGAGTCTAAAGCTGCGATCACATTAGAGTTTGAGTATGCGATATTCTGAAGTGTGGCGCTGTGAAAAGGGGCAGGATTAAACAAGCTTGACATTTAAATTGCTCCAAGTTTTAAATTTCTCTCCAGAGAGGTCATGTTTTGATCCTCGATTGGTCTCACGCAGTCAAGTGATGCGATTTCGCAGGTCAGAGATCACCAAGCTTGAACTTTGCACCGCAGCAACCTGCAAAACTTGACGCATGACCCCGCGTTTCCGGTCTGACGCATTCGCGTGCGTATGAATGGAAGTCTATGGGAGAAAAAGCCCAGTGTGACCGCAGCCTAAATGAATGAGCCTGGCTTCACAGAAAATCAGGGATGACATTAGAAGTAATTGGATCGAAGAAGCCAACTTAAAGCTTAACAAGATGACACCTGGTGGAAAAGTGACCTGTGGATTTGGAGGAGTGTGCAGTGGATGTTGGAGATGTGATCTGCAATACTTTTGAAAATACTTTTGTTTTGTATCAGACTTGGAAAAAATAATAAACAAGTTTAATTGTTTAATTCCGTAGTACAAATCTCTAATTAAAGAATCAAATTTGGGCTTCAATCAGTTCATTTGTGCATCTGTTTATTTTGTCTTGTCTGTGGGTTATTTGGTTATACGTATGACGAATTCTTCAGTTTTCTTCATCAGCTTCACAGTTTTAATTACTACTGAACTCATCAATTTTGTTAAACAGATACTAAATGTGTGCTTATTTATTTAAAACAACAAACTTAGTAGTATTAGTAAGAGTAATTAATAATAGTAATGTCTCTCACGTACATACACTTGGCCTACCTCATGCGCATTCGGTCTCTCTTGCACGCACACTCGACCTACCTCCCGCACATACGGTCTCTCTTGGGTGCACACTTGTGCTGCGTCCCAATTCCCAAAATAGTATTTGAAAATAGAATTAGTATCTCCCAAATGGTAGTATGTTGAAAAGAGTATGCCAAACGTTCCCGGATGGTTTACTACAGGGGTGGCCAACCCTGTTCCTGGAGAGCCACCTTCCTGCAGATTTCAGTTGAAACCCATATCAAACACACCTGTCTGTAATTATCACGTGGTGTTCAGGTCCTAATTAATTGGTGCAGGTGTGTTTGATATGGGTAGCAACTGAAATCTGCAGGAAGGTGGCTCTCCAGGAACAGGATTGGCCACCCCCGGTTTACTATTTAACGCTGCGTCTGAAACCACATACTTCCATACTATACAGTACGCCAAAATCAGTATGCGAGCCGAGTAGTATGTCCAAATTCATAGAATTCGAAAATTAGTACGCAAGAATTACCCGGATGACCTACTACTTACGCCGAGATTCAAGAGTGCGCATCCCAAGCACTCTGCTCTATCCTGTGATGCCTCATGAGAGAATTCATGAATGGGAGTGAAGCGACACAACTAAAGGCTGATTTATACTTCTGCGTCAAACGCCGGCGTATGCTACGGTGCTGACGCACAGCCCTTCGCCGTGGCCGTCGCTGACGTGCACCTCTCAAAAATTGTAACTACACATCGCAACGATGCGTAGCGCAAGCTCTGTGATTGGTCAGCTTGGTAGCGCTGACGAGTCTGGGCGGGACCGAGAGCCGCGTGAATGGTGCGAGCCTGATGGAGCGATTGTTTGCAAGTGTCGAGTCCCATGAAGGAGCTCCGGATGGAAAGTTTTGTTTTGTGCTTACCTCATAGTTAAAGCTGTTGCACGTCCGCCGGTTCCTGCCTCAAAATGAGCATGTTTGAGCCACTTGTACATCCCGGAAGTGTTCAGGAAAAGCAAAACAGCAGAGAAGAAACTCGACACAGAGGAACATTTACACCTCACTGCCAACTAGCGTTTCAGAAGTGTCAATGCAGACCAACAGAGACAGCGCGCAGAAGTATAAATGCACAGCTACGCAAGTTGCATGCGCCGTAGGTTACGCCGGTCACTTGACGCAGAAGTATAAACCAGGCTTAAGGCAGGTAGGTCACATGACCATGACAAAATGGCAGACGTAGTACGTCCGAATTCCAGTCATACTTTTTACATTCATACTGTGTAGAAAGCACTTTTCTAACGGCTGAGTTGTACGTTTAAATTCAAATGTAGTACCTACTGAGTAGTAGGCGGTTTCGGACACAGCCTAAGTGTAGAAGTATCATTACTCTAACCATTACATTACCTACAGTACTTTGCGTGATGGACTTGAATTTGATTAGAACTGCAAACGCGGAGTGTAAGTGTATAAAGTGTAAAGAAACTGCTAACGATAGATGCGCAAGACCACCCGTCAAGTAGAGAGGCTTTGGGATGTTTGTATGGCTGATAATTAATATCTAGCCAACTGGAACATTTTTAAATCATGTTTTCTGTGTTATATTTCATCAGCAACAACAATACTGAACTTCTATAAAGACGTGTTTGGACATTAACGTCTGAATGCAGAATTATCCAAAGGCCTGAGGACATTTCTCTGCATGAAAGACTCGTGAATGGGAGATTGTCCTGCTGCTGCTTCTCCGATAAGATAGGAAATTAAATATGACAGAAATGTGGACGATTGACAGGGCTCATAACCAGTGGTGTAGCTGGGGGTATACAGGGCATCAGGCGTTTATACACACAAATTAAGCCATTTAAAAGTTTACGTGAAATTTATTTATAAACAAATTTCGAGAGGAGCACGTGCTTATGATTGATAGCACCTGGTCCACATTAGCTAACACTGATTTACCAATCAGACGACTCCTTAACCACTAAAAATAACCGGAGTATCTTACTTCAGCCATCTTTGCCTTGAAGAATTCCCCCCTTCCACCCCTACTCCTCCCATTTCCTTGTCAGGGCAAAACGGAGGCCTAGTGGTTAGCACCACGGCCGCACAGGAAGAATGTCACCGGCTCGGACACTTCCTGGCCAGGTCGGCATTTCTGTCTGGAGTTTGCATGTTCTCCTCGTGTTTGCGTGGGTTTTCACCGGGCTCTACGGTTTCCTCCCACAGACCGAAAACATGTAACATAAGCAAACTGACAGCATAGACACTTCCCAGCATCAAATTACTTCCTACATTATCAAGCAGGGGAGTTCTCGAGACCTACCTGAACTCGGACTCCCCTCTCGCCCTGCAATGGTAGGGAGCCCCAGGCTCGAGGATCTCACGAGTTCAGGGCTCTCTCCCGGGACAGCATGCCAAACTAGCTTCATAATCAATCATCAGCTAAGGGTGAACACTTGAAGTACACTAAATGTTCCTTTGAAATGACTTTTGGTGCAATAAATCATCCTGAATAGTTGAACGTGCTAAAATATTCTTTATATGCGTTTTATAACTGAAATTCAATTACTAAACAAAATGAATCATGAATTTGCCAGGAAAAGCTCCACTTTACCATTGCCTACTTTTAAAATTTGGGTTGGGGGGGTAATAGTACACCACCTTTTTTTTTAGGACTACACCACTGGCTTAAAGAAATATTTAAAAGCTAAGGAAAGATAACCTTGCTGTTTTTTTGTCCCACTCATTTATAGTCATGTGATTAGTCGGTGCCATTTTACGGACGTTTAAGATCTTAATGTCGAATTTTAATGCTTATTATTATAGTATTTCTGTACAACATAGCTTTTTTTATTTTACAAATGACATTCTTTCATCATTCATTCACTCATTTTCAACTGCTTTTCCAGAGCCGGGTCGCGGGGGCAGCAGTCTTAGGAGACAACCCCAGACTTCCCTCTCCCCAGACACTTCCTCCAGCTCCTCCGGGGGGATCCCAAGGCATTCCTACGCCAACCCGAGAGACATAAGCTGCGTCCCAAATCACATACTTATGCACTATTCTACGCCATTTTGTAGTATAAATAGTGTAAGTAGTGCGTTCACATTGAAAACTCTCAAAATAATAAGTGCACTTTAATTACCCGGATGATGCACTCATTCAGCCGCTAAAATGAAGTGTGTAGCGATGGACCCTTCATGCACTAAACAGTCGCTGCTTTGCTCAGGTAGCGGAAGGGGCAGAGCTACCGGGCGCACATGTTGGATAACTTTATTTTAGATTGTGAAAGCAAAATTCTCCTACGAGAGTGATTATGGCGCCTCCCGATGGTGAATGCGGTTATAATTATGGCAGGTATTATTTGATACTTCAGTCGTTTATTTCACTGATTTGGCGATCGTCAAACGTCATCAGGGAAACGGTTTGAATTTCCGCTTAGTAAAAAAATGTTAGTGCTCCATTTGGGACAACACTACATACATATACTATGCTGTTGAGTGTGTAAGTGCATAGTGTGCCATTTGAGACGCAGCTATAGTCCCTCCAGCGTGTCCTGGGTTTCCCTCGAGGCCTTCTCCCGGTGGGACATGCCTGGAACACCTCTCAAGGTAGGTGTCCAGGAGGCATCAAAAACAGATGCCCGAGCCCCCTCAGCTGACTTCTCTCGATGTGGAGGAGCAGCGGCTCTACTCCAAGCTCCTCACCCTATCCATAAGAGTGCACCCTGCTACCCTTCAAAGGGAACTCATTTCGGCCGCATGTATCCGAGATCTTGTCCTTTCAGTCATGACCCAAAGCTCATGACCATAGGTGAGAGTAGGAATGTAGATTGACCGGTAAATCATGAGCTTTGCTTTTCAGCTCAGCTCCTTCTTTACCACATCGGATCGGTACATCGACCGCATTACTGCTGCTGCTGCACCAATCTGTCTGTCAGTCTCGCGTTCCATCCCTCCCTCACTACTAAACAAAACCCCAATATACTTGATCTCCTCCACCTGGGGTTAGGACCTTCCTCCAACCTGGAGATGGCCTCCATGAACCGCCAAATTATCGTGGTGGAGGGGTTTGAGTGCCTGAGTGTTGCTAGGAGCTATGTTGTCGGGGGCTAATGCCCTTGGTAGGGTCTCCAAAAAGGTAAAGGTGACAGGTCAGACAAAGTGCGCTTCAAAAACCTCTTATGAGTTTCTTAACATCGAAGACCGTGACATCGCCGAGTATGGCCGGTATGGGGCTGGTGCATTGTGGAGCGGGTGGTGGTCGAAGGTTAGGACCATGACAAACTGATCATCGGACATTCTTTCACAGTCCTTAAAGTCAAACTGTTTCCCCTGTATTTGCTTGTGTATGTATATGTATATATGTATATGTAACAGAGGCCAGCTAGTAGGTGCTGTGCAGGTAAACCTCACTCCTCTGACCTCTAAAGGTGCTCTAGCGACAGATGCTAGAGGCCATGGTCTTTAGCCTCCTTGGTAGAGCAACCGACTCCCATGCTGAAGGTCGCCGGTTCGATACCAGCTCGGAGTGGGTTGAGTGGCGTAGGATCGGCGGGGTTACATATATATATATATATATATATATATATATATATATATACATATATATATATATATATATATATATATATATATATATATATATATATATATATATATATATATATATATATATATATATATATATATATATATATATA